AAGTTTAAAAAAATATATCTAGAGTCACAGAGAACATGTGGATGTTAAAGGGGTTGCAGGAAAGCACTGGAAGGTATATGCATTTGCAAATTACTTGTTCTTTCGTGGCAATTTTAAGTTAACAAGACTGTCTCCTCAGTCTTTCCATTTGATCATCATAATAACCTATGAGGTGGACAAGGAAGGTCCTGTTAGCTCTACTTATTTTAATGGATCAACACCCAAAGGACCTGGGATTTTTTCTTTTAACTCTTCCTTGAGTAAAAACAAGTAAGCCACAGAAAGATGTGTTCATGTTTCCAAACTGGAACGGTTAAAGAAGACTATCTAATAAGAGACCTATGCCTAACGTATGGTAAGTTAGGATGCTTGGGACAGACTATATGTCCCCTTCAGGGAGAGGCTGCAAGTGGTAACTCAGGGGAACATCAGAGGAAAAGGATGAGGGCGTAAGCACCTAAGCACATTTGGAAAGCTGAAAGCAAAAATAAATACACAGATACACAAACACAACCTATCTGGCCAGACAGAGAACAGCTAAATCATGACTTCCCTCCCTTTAAATATATATGCCTCAGCCTGTAATTGTTGCCCTTTTATGGACTTTTCCATTTTTCTTTTCTCCTGCCTTCAAAGGCTGCTCTTTTGAACTGCAGGACACTGGATGTTCAAGAAAATGGATACCGGCCATTGAACCATCATTCCTTTATACAATCACCACATCTGAGAGAGGAAATACCTAATACAGTTTGGCCTGGGGATAATGAAAAATTATTTCAAAAAAAGTCGTTTTTTTTTACTCATGAGCTAAGTCTGTTTCACACAGTCCACTAACCTACTTTCTGCATTGAAGTAGGTAGTGTTGGATACTCCACTCTCGTCTTCCTAGGTTGAAAGCTGTATTTCTCTCTCATCTTTCCCACTGCATCCCCAACCCATTGCAAAGTGCCCGACTCCTAACTAGGACCCCAGTAATGTTGATGGAATACATTGCTGAATTATGTTTCACCTTCTCAGAACAAAAATGCATTCTTTTTCACGTTACATAGATTGAACCTTAAAAATGTATGCACCTGTTCTATGACAACTTCAAACAAACTAGGTGAGCTTATTTCCACCCTGAAAGGCAACTGAGCTATGCAATTTAAGTGAATAATCTGGACTGTTTAAGGGTAATAGCCGTAGGACTGATGCTGGGGCCCATATTATATGTCCATGCTCACTGAAGACTACTCCAATAAGATGTTCCATAATCACACAGCATACCAGAACCCTAAATCAAATCTCCCCCCAAATTTAAGTAATAGAATTGAGACCTGTTTGACTGAAAATGTACTGGCCATCAACCACCCAATTACTGTATTCAGTGTTTCTAGTTCAAAACATTTTAGAGCTGCCAAGAACACCATAAAAATAATAAAACTTTGCAGTTTATAGCACTTTCTAAAGCATTTTTATATTTAATTCATTAAACACATTACAGCAGTGGTTCTCAACCAAGAGTGATTTACTCTCCTCATAGGACATGTGGCGATGTCTGGGGACATTCTGGTTGTCACAACTGGTGGGGGAGGGATGGTGGCATGCTACTGGCACCTAGTGGGTGGAGGCCAGGGATGATGCTAGCCATCCTACAACACACAGGACAGCCCCCGACCACAAAGAATTATTCACTCAAAGATAAACAGGGCCAAGTTGAGAACTTGTGCATCAGAATAACAACTACTTGCAAAGCATATGTTGTGCTGAATGCTGAGGAAGTGCTGGTGGACGAGAGATGGCTTCTGCTTGCGGGGCAGTCCAGCAAGTGATGAGAACCAGCAGGTAGCACTGATAACAGTCTGTGATAAGCGCTGTGACAGGGGTGTATACAAAAGTCCACCAAGAGCAGAAGCAACTGCTTCAACCAGGAGGTCAGGGTACTTCACCAGCAGTGACTTTCCAGCTTGAATTTGAGAGGTGACTTCATCAAGTACAAGAGAGCACTGCATACTAGCCAGAAGAAATCATATATGTAAAAGCAAGCAAGGATCAAACTGAAGGACCCTAACAACACCAGCATTGTGTACAGGGCTACCAAAGCCAGACATTAGCATGGTGTATCTCCCTGGAAGGCCAGTCTCACATGAACAGAAGGAGAAGTACAGGTAAAGTGATTTTTATGGCATCAAAAACAAATATCAAAAACACAGGTATATGGAGCAGAATATAAATTTTGCATGATTTTTTTTAAATATCACCAGAAGTTGCTTTGTTAGACTTGTAATGCTAAGGGTTGCTCCCACCCTGAGGAATATTTTGGTGACATTAGAGCAATGGCAAATGTTCTAAAGTAATTAATTCCATGTGTCTGGAGCACAAAGAGGATGCAGGTAAAAAGGGGAAGGTGGTGGCTCCGGTGAGAAGTCAGGCTGGATGGTGTCATGTGAACAATTCTTCTAGGCTATGTTAATGCAGTCTGTACCTCTTTTGGGCAGGGCAGAGGCAGTCACTGGAGGCTGGCAGAGGAGGAAATGGCAAGTTCTCAGTGTTGGAAAAGCAGATGATGGGACAAAGGTTAAAAGGTGGTTAAGTCTAAACGAGGAAATGGCACAAAGGAGGAAGATTTCAGATATGAAGGCAGTAGAATCCACAGGATCAAACATTAGAGTGATAGAGAAGAAACTTTTCAGGCTGGGCAACCAGCGGGGATGGAGGAGGGGGTGTGATGGCAAGTAATGAGAATAGAAAATGGGGGTAAAAAGAGGTTTTCATGGTGGGGATAAAGGTGGTCTCAATCAAACCTCAAGACAACCCTGCAAATTATGTGAAATATGCATAGATAACAATCATGCCCAGTTTACAAATGAATTCAGTGAGGTCCTCAAGGCAGGTGGGCTTGCCTGGGGTCACACACCCAGCAAAAATAAATGAGTGGGGGAGATGGCAGCTAGGGCTCTCAGCTCCCAGTCTAGGTTCTTTCCACTCATGCTGTCTCTCTAGCCACATATTACAGTGATAACTAAACTTGATAATCATGATAGATCAGTGATGGCCAAATTTCCATTGGCTCTAACAGCCCTGGATAAAATTCTGAATTGGTGATATTAAGTTAGGAGCTTGTCTACTTCCAAGTAAAGCCCATTTTGACTTCCATATAAATCCAAGAAACAATTAACTAACTGTGACTGTAAAATTCAGGACAAATGAATTATTTTTCCTAACTCTTCTTTATCCAATACCTGTATATGATCAGAATAACTTCAAATTTTTATTTTTATAACTACATAAGCAATCACACTGGAATAAATGAAAATCCTAGCAATAAGTGTTAGCACCTGGATACATACCTACAGGTAGGTACTGAAGTGGCCTGTGTGAAAGCTGTAAGCACAAGATTAAGTACATAACTGATGGTCAAGAAATACCAGTGTTCCTTTCTACCTAGCTACCTACTACTCAGATACATACCTTCTTGAATATTTGGGGGAAAAAAGATTAATAGTATCTCAGAGGATTTAAATTCTAAAACATGCTCCACAACACACACGAAAAATATTCAGTTCACACCAACAATATCATGTCTCAATAATAATGGCTGATACTGGGGGTGCCTGGGTGGCTCAGTCGGCTAAGCATCTAACTCTTGATTTCAGCTCAGGTCATGATCTCACAGTTCATGGGATCGAGCCCCATGTCAGACTCCCCACTGACAGCACAGAGCCTGCTTGGGATCTTTTCTCTCCTTCTCTCCTTGCTCTTCCCCCATTCACTCTCTCTCACTCAAAATAAATAAACTTAAAAAATTTTTTTAAATAATAGCTGATACTGTTTATGCAACATCATTGTATGCCAGACACCAGGCCAAGAATTTATGTGATTTATCTCATTTACTCCTCATTATATGACTTAGAACTATTACTATCCTGGTTTTACTTACAAAGAAACAGGCTTGTAAAAGTGAGGTCATAGAGGCCTGTAAACCAGGACATGAATCCAGATCTAACTGATTCCAGAATGCATGCTCTTAACCAGCAGGCTTCCTGCTTCCCCCCAAAGACTCTATTATCCTAGAACACAGATCAGGGCACATCAAGTTTCTACATTCTTGTCACCTTCCCTTGAACTTGACAGACATGTAATTAGTCCATTGTCTTAAATCAAGTGTAGCAACTCACACAGGAAATGGATTTCCATTCATAGCTTTAAACAATGTCAACCCGAGTTCATTTCACAGCAGTCCTAAGCCGCTGACCATAGCCACCAAAATATTACCGCATCATTAGAAAAAGTGGGTCCCTTGCCCATGAACACAAATGGAAAAGGCAGCCCTTTCCCACTCTGTTCCTTCCTTTGATCTTGTCAACCTCATATTTTTGTGGCTTTAGCTTCTCATCGCTTCACTAAAAATGGAGTACCTCTTTTTCTCATGATATATTTTCATGTGGCAGAATCACAGCAGAAACTATACAAATGTATGTGATGCAAAGATCATCTTTCTTTGCTAGCCAGGGGAAATGCTCAAAAACTAAACAAAAAAAATTAAGATGGGTCTGACATAGTTGACTCACTCCATTGAATAAGTAAAAAAATGAATGGTCTGGAGCCTGAACCTTGGGAGGGGAGGTCTGGATTAGGATCTCAACTTGCCACTTAGCCTACTGAGGAAGCCTGGGAAGGCAAAGTGCTTCTCTGAGTCTTGGTTTCCTGATCGATAAAGTGGAGACACTGATACCTACCTCCTGTGATACACGTGAGAAGTTAAAGACTGTGAATGTGAAATGTTTTCATGTATGCCCATTACATCAAAGCTCTCGGGAAGTGATAACTTCTACTCTATAACAAAAAAACAAAAACAAAAACAAAAACAAACACCACAACCTCCATGTTTTTTCCACCTAGAGTGCAGAGTAACTATAATAAAAGATAGAGGACAGCTGTCTGAGCAGGCATGCCCCTCTTGCAAGAAAGTCCACCAGTGGCTTTCTTCGTTTCCCAGAACCCCACCTGGATATACTGACCTGGGAGAGAGGGCATTCTTTGGCTAATGTGCTCTGGTTCATCTCTTTGAGCAGTTCCTTTAAGGCATTGCGGACTGTGGCATGATTCCACTGCTCCGCAGGCAAGTCTTCCAACTTCGAACAACTGGGAAACAGAGCAAGAATGAACACCATGCAGACCTCAACAAAGGGCCCTGGCTGCAGGGGGTTCTGAGTGTGGCAGTTGCTCCTGGGTCCTGTGCCAGCAGTAGGAAAAGTGCTAAAGATCAGGGTCCCGTGTGGGCCCTACATGAGGGAAGGAGAGCAAAACTGCTTCTCTAGGACTTGGACAAAGCCCACTCGGTCTCTCTAAGAAAAATAGTCACTTCAGATATGAAGAACTGTTAACGATTTAAAATATGGCTTTTCCAATCTGTTGATGGGAATGGCATGGCAATGTGATTACAAACTTCCACAATACAAGTTCAGTTATTGGACATCCCTAACGCTAAATGTAAACAAATGTTCCTTTCAATTCAAAGCGTGAAGGCCCACTCTTCACTCTCATTGAACGATTCAGAGATGTTGCTTTCCTAACCAAAAAATAACTTTTAAGATAGAACACTAAAGCATTCCTAGGCAAGGATGGGGATGTTGGGTCCCCATTAAAGTACAGATTCTCCAAAATGAGCAAATTCAAAACCCTTTCACTAAAGGATAACGTCTCTTAAACCATATGACTTATAGGCACTTTACAATACAAGACTCTGCAGAGAACCTCTAGATTCTTTAGAGGCATAACTTGCTCTGGATGCTGTACCTGAAAAAATAAAATCACTTCCAGAACCTCTGCAGGCCGCAGAGTGTGCTTCCTCGAGGCAGCCACCAGAAAGGGAAGAAAAAGATGTCCAGTGCCAGCACCTTCCTGGGAAGCCTGCTACACTAGCACAGAAGTCAGCCCTCAAAACACAAGCCCAAAAACAGCAGAAGTGTTTATTCTTCAAATTGTATGTGCTAAGTGTTTAAACAGAGAACCCATTAAATTAGGGGCTGTGGAAAGTTCCCCTTTAAGGGCCACAGATTTTTAATGATTTATCAAGCTTCCCCTAGGTTACCACTTCACTGCTTCTGAAAACAAAACATAAAACAGTTGGAATGTGGACTATAAAGATGCCTGGTGAAGGGTCCCTCCTCTCTCTCTTTTTTTTCTCATTTCATCCAGTGTCTAGAAATCAACAAAGACAGGACGTGCTAATCTCTGCAGTGACTCTCTGAGTGACGGAGCAGCTCCACGAGTGCGGAAGGGCAGATGTTCAGAGACACCCACCTTTGTAATTGGATTTTCAACGTCACAACATGATAGACATCTTGCAGCATGTCGGCCACTGTTGCGTCGGGGGCATCTGTCACATAGCTGAGAGGGAGAGGGTTCCACCTCCCCAGCTTGATTATTCCTGCAAAGAGAAGAAAAACATAATAAACACATTTCTGCTATTTATTAAACCTTCTCATTGTTTGTTCAATGTTAAGAAGGTCATTCGATAGTCAACATTCAAGGCCCATTCAGAGATATTTTACAACCCAGTGCAATAACCTATTTCTTTCTGGCCGACAACTGAGTTAACTATACAGGAAGATGAGAATGAAAGGATTGAGGTTTAATCATGGACAATCAGTTCTTTTATGTTTTCCTGTTTCTTAAATTACTTAGAAAACCATACGGATACTTCCTTCCCCCAAAGTCTTGTTTCACATTCTAACTTAAGACTGATGCTAAATATACCGGACTGCTGATTTCATAGACAAAAAAAAAAAAAAAAAAAAAAAAGCAAGCCTTAAGTAAATATAAGATTTGGTTTTGAATTGTACAAGAAAATTCCTGTGTGTGGGCTCAGCACACACACAGTCACATCCTGACTGTGGTGTGATCCCCAGTGCAAACAGCATTTGGAGCTGATGAACCAGTTAGAGTTCACTTCCAGATTCGTGTTTCACCAGGCAGAGGGGTTATTTTCCAATAGCACAATGACTGACCACAGATCAGAAATAGCAGAGATGCCTTCAGCTTCCTTTTTTTTTTTAATTTTATTCCTCTGCTCTTTTTAGAGTGACAATGGTTACCATTTCCCTGTGGGTTTCCTGCTGCATATGGTAAACATGCATGACAATGGAGAGAGAATAAAAATCCTGGTCAAACTTACACTATATAGAGCAGTGATTTTAGGAATACCCTTGTGATAAGAAGATTCTTCCGATAGCTTCAGCAACACGTGGTGAAAATTCTAACTTAGTCATAAGATGGACGCATCTTATCTGGTCCATATATCTGTGTCCATAGGGCACATATAACATTGATGAAGAAAAATAAAGAAAAAATAAAGAAAAACCCATTTCACAAACACAGAGGGACAAAAATTTTATTTGTATGCTGTGAAAAGCCCAATGGTCCCCAAGGTGTCAGAAATTGTCATACATACATTCCACTAAAACAGTTGTTTTGGTGAAAGAAAAGAAATAGAAATTTTTGACAATACAGGTGGGTCCAACTACAGTGTTCTTTCAAAATATTTTTTATCATCAAAGACAGAGAACACCTGTATACCCAAGTGAACTTTTAAAAGCTTCACGAAATAATGTTTTATAGCTCTGGGGTAAAATTCCAATAATAGGAAATGAACTTTCTGGTCAGGGAGTGTCCTGTCCAAGATGAAATCAATGAATGCGCAATGCTTGACATAATGCTTGAAAACAGGGAATAAACAGAACAAAAATATTAAAATGATGCACTGTTTCAGTATTAAGATTTAACAATCTGGTGCTGAATATGCTGCAGTATAAATAGTGCCTGGACTCAGATCCAATAAAGTAACACAGCTCTCATTCATAGTACCGTATGTCTCCAGTTCTGGCTCCTTAAGTCACATTTCACTTGCCAAGAAAAGCTGTTTTCTTGTGGGGATAGTTTTCCTAACATTCTCTCTCATGACAATGAAAAGTGCACAGCAACGCAGCATAAAGCAGTCTCGTGAAATGAACATCCAGGGCTCACTGGACAAGCACCCATCAGAGGCTGGGTCTGCTTCCTGGCTTCCTTTACTCTTTCTGACATTTGAAAATACTAAAAAAGATAACACGCAACATGGCTAACATATTTCCTTTTTAAAAAATCACTACATTATTTTAAATCCCTTTCAAAAAATCATTATCAAGATAGCCCATGAGTTGAGTATAAATTGACCATGGTCTAAAGGCACAGTATTTTGTCGTAAGCAACTGGAGGGGAGAAAAATGAAGTCAGCAATTGTGCCCTATGATAGACATGACAAGTGGAGGAAGCCGATTTCGTGGGTATTTTGGTGACTAAGAAGACAAAGGTAACATGAAGCAAATGACTCCGGAAGTTGTCATTGTGCAGTGCACAACTCTAGGGGAGGTTCACCCATTCTGCAGTGTGTATGTCACTGCTCACTCCTTTTTCTTGTTGAGTAGTATTCCACGGGAAAAATATGCCATAATCAAGTCAGACACAACAGAATATCTCTGTAAGATTTAATTTATATAACAATACAAGAACAGGCAAGACTACAGGACTAACCTATGGGACTGAAGTCAGAAGGCGGTTACCTCTGGACGTCAGGGGCAACTGACTGGAAAGAAACATAAGGGGATTTTCTTGGTTTGGCTGGTGGTTGCATGGGTATAAAAATTGTCAAATTCATCAAATGCAACGCTTAATATGCATACATTTTACTGTATGTAAATTGTACTTCAATACAAAAAAGGGTATTGGGGGAGGGCTCTCTGCAGGATATGACAGACAAATCACTCTCATGGAAATTAGGTAATCTAATCTCCATTTAGGTAAATTCTACCTCCCCCCTGCCCCCCACCTTGATGAGCCAGAAGAAGACTTGTCTGGGCTGGAATGAGGCACACACAGGTGTCTTTGCAACACTTAATACCTCCACAGAGAGCAGCTGCTACAGGTTGGTTTCTGCATCTTGAAAGAGAGCTGTTGAGGCATGCTACATTCAGGCAATGGGAAGTGGCACGTGCTCCTTTCTCAACCATATTAACTCACCTGCACGGTCCCAGAAGTCACGTTCTTTGCTCTACTATCTACCAGGGTCGGTGCATGCAAGGTCTGCTGAGACAGCCATGTCCAGAAGGCTGCTCTCCTTGGAGTACCTCTTTTTAATAAGCCTTCCCCCCAAACAGGCGCTTTGTCTGATGCATTAACCCTCTTTGGAAATACATTCCTTAGATACAGTCTTCCTTCCCCAATATAAAATAGATAAAAATATTACTTGGGCTAGAAGTCAAATGTTAATTGAGGAAATCAAGCTGGGAAGCAGTATAACAGTGACTAAGAATGCAGGCTTCCAAGTGAAATTGCCTCGGTTCACACCCTGGCTCCTCCACGTGCGATGTAACCTCAGAAAGTTACTTAAATTTCTCCATACCTCAAGCCTCTCTATATAAAATGGAACAACAGAAGTAGTGGCCACTTTGGAATACTGTGAAGATTGAATGAAAAGCCCTGACTTAGTACAGAGCCTGGATATAATTAATCTCAACAATTGGCTGTTTACAGTAATTATTTAGACATTTTTAATGCTTCTTTAAAAAAAGACATTGTCAACTTATTTTTACAAATGTTGACTCAAAGTTCTTTTTTTTAATGATTTCATTATTATCTTTTAATCTTTAATTGGGTCATAGGCCTGTAAAAGACGCTCATTTTTTAATGTTATTTATTTATTTTTAGAGAGAGTGTGAGCAGGGGAGGGGCAAAGAAAGGGGGAGAGAGAGAGAGAGAGAGAGAGAGAGAGAGAGAGAATCCCAAGCAGGCTCTGCACTGCCAGCACTGAGCCTGACTCGGGACTCCAACTCACAAACCATGAGATCATGACCTGAGCCAAAATCAAGAGCCAGACGCTTAATCAGCTCAGCCACCCAGGCACTCCAAAGGCCCTCATTATTTTAAATCAAAAAGGGAGACTGCATATGAATTATGTCTCTCCCCTCCTGTCCTATCGTATTCCACCCCTCCTCCCCTCCCTACTCATTTCTTCCAACCTTGCTCTTCAGTGCCTCCTCTCCTTCCACCCATAAGTAGGTTCAGATCTCCCCTACTTGAAAAGTAACAAAAACATTGCAACAATCTCTTTCCCTTCAGTCTCTCATTTTTTGCACCACCAGATACATCGGAAGTGCATCTCCAATTCTCCATCGGACCTTCACCCCTAGATATCTATTTTCAAAACTCCAAGGGAAATGAAGTTCAGAAGGGTTGCATTACCATGGGTGGTATCACCAGGCAATAACTAAAACCAGATTCACTTCAAATACCATGCTCTCACTCTTCTTAGAATCCTGTAAATCACAATGGTTCAGGTATGAGGCACAGAAAAGACTGGAAAACAGCCTGGTTCCAACTTTGGAAGGCCTCGAATGCCTGACTCAGTAACACATTGTGTAGGTCAGAGGTCAGGAGCAAGTCCTAGAGTTGGTGCAGGCTCCTTTGCCTGGTAGCTATGAGACTTTGAGGAAGTTGTGTAGTCTCTCCAAGTCTGTTTGCATTATCTGTAAAATGGGGATAAAACACTGTCTGCCCTTGAGGGGTGCCACAAGGCTTTAAATGAGAATGAGAATTTAGCACTGGGGATTGACCCACAGTGAATGATTAGTAAATATTTGCGGAAAATAGATCCTCGGGATTTTTTAGTGTAGATGTAACATGACCAAAGCAAAGTGATAGGAAGATTAACCTATAGTGAGTGCAGGTGGATTAAAAGAAGGCACCATTCTAAGAAGAGAAAAGAGCTGAAAAGTCCAGACAAGTGTGTCTAAATATAACCACTAGCAGCCTCTTCCTAGCTCCCCCCCACTGGGATACAGACCCCACTGACTGTTACAGTGCAGCAAAGGAGCATGAGGAAGAAAGAACAAGCCATGTACCTGCTGGGGAGATCTGACTTGCAGTGTTGGAGAAAAACTGCATAACTGTAAGTATACGAATAGAATTGTCAAACCTCATGCTTTATGATTAGGTTTTACAATCCCTATCTGAAAAGTGAGAAAAACTAATGATTCAATTAGATAGTGGTATATGCATGCGGGGCACCTGCGCGCATGCACACACACACACACACACACACACACACACACACACCCCTCAAGCCCAGCCAGGCATATAGTAAATGCTCAATAAACGACAGTTCCCATTTTTTCCCCCGAATACATTTCACACTCAGTCGGAGTACGGATCCCCAACATTCACTTCAGGAAATCATACACATTCTTCAAATTCTCCTTGAAAATAATTCCAACCCTGATCAACCAAGCCTTTTCTCTACATAGCATTGCAGGAAATATTCTTGGTCAATCTGTGTATCTTATAAAGAACTTACTTTATCACAATACCCTTTTATGTTACTTTACAATTTGTGAA